TTAAAGGGTCGCGTCATTAGGAAGGTTGAGAATTACTGCTATAGAACAAGCCCATCACCATAAACAATTCCCTCATCTTGTAGTCAGCCCATCCCTTGCCCCCAGCCCCTGATATATTCTCCGTCCCTATAATTTCTATAATTTTGTATTTTCCAAAATGTCGTATGATTGGCATCTTACATTAGGTAGCCTCTTGAGTCTGATTCTTTAACTTACCAATGCATTTGCAATTCGTCCCTGTTGTGTGGCTATCCATAGTTTGTTCACATTCATTGCCGAGGAGTATTCCACTGTGTGGATGTGACACGGTTCAGTTATCCATTCACTGTTCCGAGGGCATTTTTGGGTTGTCTTCAGCTATTGACGATTGTGAATAAAGTTGCTCTAGATATTACATAAGTTATTGTGTAAATATGATAGGTTTCATTTCATTTGGGTAAATAAGCAGCAGTGGGATTTCTGGGTCATGTGGTACGTGTATGTTTATAAGAAACTGCCACACTGATTTCCAGAAGGTCAGCACCATTGTCATGCCTGCCAACAAAGTATAATAGTTCCCATTCCTCCGCTCCTTAATCTATGAACATCCTCCCTTGACGTTGTCAGTATTTGTTAGTTAAGTAATCCTAATAGGTGTGTAGTTAAATATCCTTATGGTTTTAATTTGGATTTCCCTCATTGCAAATGATGTTAAATATCTTTATTTGTACTTACTTGTCATCTATAGATCCTCTTGGGTGAAGTGTTTGATCAAGTCCTTTGCCCATTTATTAATTCTGCTGGGTTTTAAGAGTTGTTTCTAAATTCTGTCAGATATGTGATTTGCAAATATTTTTCCAGTCTGTAGTTTATCTTTTTATGTAGCAGTCTGTCTTATGGAGCAAAAATTTTACATTGTCATGAAAAAGTGCAGTTTATCAAATTTTTCTTTTATGATTTTGCTGTTGATGTCATGTCTAAGAACTCTTTGCCTAAACTCAGGCCATAAAGATTTTCTTCCACTTTATTTTTCCAGAAGTGTTATCGTTATATGTCTTACATTTAAATCTGTGCTCCATTTGAGTTAATTTTTGTATATGATACGAGTGGCCTGGTGCACGAAATTCGTGCACAGGGAGGTGTCCCTCAGCCTGGCCTGCACCCTCTCCAAGCTGCGACATCCCTCTTGCAATCTGGGACTGCTGGCTCCTAACTGCTCACCTGCATGCCTGCCTGCCTGATTGCCCCTAACCACTCTGCCTGTCGGCCTGTTCGCCCTCCTGGCCTGATCACCCCTAACCACCTCTGGCACAGTCTCACCACCATGGTTTTGTCTGGAAGGTCTCCTGGTCTAATTAGCATATTACCCTTTTATTAGTATAGATAATGTTTAGTCAAAGTCCATTTTTTGGTAATGGATGTCTAATTTTCTAGTACCATCTATTAAAAAAATTATTCTTTCTCCACTGGACATTTGTCAAAAATCTGTTATTTGTTTCATTGCATTGATCTGTGTGTCTATTGCTCCTCAAACACCTAACAGTTTTGGTTATTGTAGCTGTACAATAACTCTTAAAATCAGATAGACTGATTTCCCTCACATGATTCTTTTTCAAAACTGTTTTAGCTACTCTGTTCCTTTGCCCTGCCATATAAATTTTAGAATTATTGTGTGTACATCTACAAAAAATTTTCCCAGGATTTTTATTGGAATTCTGTTAAATCCTTCAATTTTGGAAATAATTGACATCTTTATGATATTGGGTCTTTCAATCTATGAACATGGTTGTCTCTTCCGTTATTGCAGTCTTCTGTGGTTCCTTTCATCGGCATTTCGTAGTGTTCAGCATTCAGATTATGTGCATGTTTTGTTAGATTTATATCTATGTATTTCATTTGTGGGGCAAGCGATTGCAAATAGTATTGTTTTTAAATTTTTGTTTCCAATTGTAAATTGCTGGTCTATAGAAATGTTACTGATTTGTGTGTTAACGTTGTCTCTTGTGACCTTGCTAAGCTCACTTATTAGAGGGGGGCGGGGTTTGTATGTTATTTGGGATTAGTTACATAAATAATCATGTCATCTGCAAATAAGGATAGCTATTTTCTTTCTAATCTAATTCTTCCTCTCTTCTTTTCCTTTTTCTTTTCTTCCTCCTCCCCCACCCAACGCCTTTTTGCATTGCTTAGGACTTTCATCATGATGTTGAATAGGAGAGGAGAGAGCAGATTTTCTTGCCTAGTCTTAGCCTTAGAGGGGAGCTTACTTATTTAGAAACATTCCTCTTTTCTAAAATAGGTATTTAATGCTTTAAATTTCACTCTAAGTAATTTACCTGCTTGCCACAAATGTTGATGTTATCTTTTCAAAAATTCAATTCAAAATATTTCCTCTTATAACTGCCTCTTATTTTCTTGCTGATCTTGATTTTTTATTTGATACCATTTTCCTTCATCCTGAAGTACTTCCTTTAGCATTTCTTGTAATGCAATTCTGCTGGCAAAATAATCCCTAGCATTCATTTACTGCAAGCATGTCAAACTCCCAGCCCGCAGGCCGCATGCGCCTACAACGGATATTTGTGTGGCCCAGCCAATATAATGGTATGTAAGAAATGTTTTAATAAAAATTTCATAACTTAATTTTTATCCTGTTATACATAATTATTAATAACGAACTACAACGTTCGCTAATGACTGATTAGTATAATCATGTTGCATTCATTTCCCTTACACGCAGGCGCACCATTTCTCTCCACTAATACCAGCAGCAAATATTCTCAAAAAACTCGTTAGTCGGGACATTCGTAAGTCAAGGCCTCACTGTATTTGCATTATACTTATTAATTTGTGCAGTTATTCAGTGTCTGGTAAGTTAATGTTCAAGAAAAAATATTAATTTTTATTAAAATGTTCTATTTTATGTTAACGATGTCTCATTTATTTCAGCCCTTTGTATTCAGCATGTCTCTATCGAAATAAACCTACATTTCTACGGAAATTGAAGCTTTTGTTTTTTTGCAGCCCACATACACTTACACTGTGTTTATTTGGCCTGTGTTAGCCTTTGAGTTTGACATGCTTGATTTTCTGGAAAATGTCTTTCACATTGTTTTTTGAAGGATATTATCAATGGATACAAAATTCTAGGTTAGCAGATTTTTCCTTTCATCAATATGAAGTGTTGCTCCATTGTCTCTTGGTCTACATAATTTCTTGTGAGAGGTTAGGTGTTTTCTTATTGTTCTTCTTTTGTAGAGTCTCCCTTTCCCCACTAGATAGATACTTTTAAGATTGCCTCTTTATTTTTGGTTTTCTTCAGCTTGAACATGCTGTTCCTACATGTGTTTGTCTTTTTATTTTTCCTTCTTGGGGTTCACTGAGCTTCTTGGATCTGTGTATTGGGGTGTACCTCCAATCCACTGCACAGTGCTTCCTGGTATGCATCCCTCATATTGTGGTTCCCCATCCTGTCTTTGACAAACTCTTGGGATGCCTCCAGCTCCCCTTTAAAAAATGCAATTGCCATGAGCATCCTTCTACAGGTTCCCTTAGCTGGGCAAGATTTTATTTGGGATGTTAGAACCCAGAGTAGAATTGCTGGCTTGCAAGGTTTGCCTATGCTAAACTTGACTGAGGATTGCCAGATGTCCATATGATGATAGGATGATCCTCAAGTGAGGAAAGAATAATGGTGAGGAGAGAGGAAAGAGAGGGGAGAATTTCTGGAGCCTCATGCTTGAGTAGGTGAGAAGGGCTGGTACCCACAGTGTAAGTGGAGGAGTTAGCCAAGAACAGGGACAGTTCATCCCCAGAGAAAGAGGAAAAGTGGAGGTCTGGGCCAGATGCACGTAGATGGGTCGGTGTTGTGGCAGAAAATTTTCTTCTGTGGCTTCTATTTTCTTGGTGATACAGGAAGCAGCCTGAGGGGCAGGATGGGGAGGAGGTACTGGCAGTTCAAAGAGAGGAGGTATGAAACAGCTGTCTTGGAGACTGGGAGTGTGCATGACCAGGGCAACAGAGTCCACCTGCCGGGCAGTGTGCAGGCTGCTCATGGGTCAGTGAGAATGGGCAGTGCTTCTGGGAGAGGTCGGGCATGGAGCAGGTCCAGCAAAGGGTTCTAAAGGCTCAGGTTAGCAGTACTCCATGCCTGGCACTGTTCTGGGCTCTGTGGGCACAGGGTGGGCAGTGCAAAGGGGCTAGAGATCACCACAGACTCATCATTCTGTGGGGTGCCTGGGGAGGCGGGGTAGTGACAGTGTGGTGGAAGGTCTGTAATTATGTGCTCAGGTTGCTCAGCAGGTGTAGGCACTCAGCGCTTCTCTGCCTATAGCTCTGTTTTGTGTTATAAAAGTAATGCACGCCACATCAAGAAAATTTAGGAAAAGGTAAAAAAAAAAAGATAAGTAAAAGAGTAGATCATCTGAAATCCATGCTCTCCCCACCCTGCTGAGAGGCAGCTACGATAGTTAACATTTGGATGTCTTGTTGTTAAAGAAAAGGGCTGTCCCTGCCCAATGGGCCTTTGAGATTTGACCTCATGTCCAAATGTGAGTAAGTCCCCCCACCAAATGTAGCCAAGCAACAGTGTGGTAGGCTGAATGGGCCATGGGGGTCCTCTCCCCATTCCTGGCAGAAGTCAGGGAGGCCTGCATGGAGGGGGTGGCCATGAATTGGGTCTTGAAGGTTGAGGGTCCCTCAAGCCTGTCTTGCTGTCTTTATCCTTCCTGTCTCCCCTTGTTCAGTGTCTTCTAAGGGCAGACCTAGCTCCCAGCCCCTGTCCTACTGTGTGGCGAATAGGGTGGTCCTGCTGCAGGAGAGATGAGTAGGGACGGCCCACTCTGTGAGGACAGGGAGGCAGAGTGGCCTGAGCATGCTGCTCCACGACAGCCCCTCCATTTGTGCAGTGAGAGCCTGTGTGGCCATACACAACAGTCTGCG